CCATTAGTATGGTCAATCCACCAGATGCTGTATATATGCAGAGTTCGATTTTATACTCTGTGTTCTGATCATAGGGGTCCCTATCCTTTAAAATAGGTCCAGTCCCCGTCCACCTTAAATATTACCCCCAACCTTGTATGCATTGTGAGCTTGACAGTAAAGTTCGCTGTGCGATGATGATGTCAGATTGTTGAAACATTAATTCCCTTTTTACTTAGCCGCGTGCAACGTCTCTTCACTCCATCAAATCGGCCAACAAGCTGCCTTAGCTAGAACCATTAAAAGATTCAATTTATATCTATGATGTGTCTCTGAAACACGCATAGAAGACCCTACTTCAATCACTTTCCCGCGTTCCCCCGACCGAACCTCATCCTCACACTTCACCCTTCGTGTCAGGCAATTCGGCAGCCAATGCTCGCGGTTTTTCTGGTGTCGGGATGGCGCTAAGTGTCACAGCCGAGCTTTCACTTCTTGGCTGGATTCCGGTTAGTAGTCGGCTTCTCGCCTTACCCGCCAATAGATACAGAACGAAGCGTTAGTGCTTATTCGTCGTGTCCGCGTATGCACCGACCGAATGCTGTTCACCAGAAATCAAGGAGGAATTCTACAAGGGCCTCTTCCCGATCAACGGACATCGTATTAGTTGCTGGTGACCTCAGTGCTCAAGTGGGATTTCTGGACAACTCGGTCATATTTCTAGGCGGCCCACGCGTGATCCCAGCTAATCGGTGGGACAACAGAGATTGCCTACTTCAGCTCTACGGTGATCACCTGTTGTTCCCATCATGCACTAAGTTCTACCCAAAGAAAAAGCAGCTTTACATGAAAATCGCCCACCTTTTCACAGTGATATAATTGAACTCACCACAACGCCATCGGCCACGCCTGGTAAAAAAACTACAGAAAAGCCACCGGAAACGGCTGCCCACAACACAATATCAGCGATAGTTGCAAATCGGAATTCAAAGCGGAGCTCTCCGATCACTTCTCAGGTCAAACACTCGCCGAAGGACTCAATGAACACTTATAGAGTCATTCTTCCTGATTCCAAACTGGACACAGCGCGCAAACCGTCCAGCTCATCAAGGGTCTAGGGAATGACTGTGAGTATTGGTGGATGGCAAAATATAGAAAATGAGGAGGTTACGGTTGTTGGTAAAAGTCGCAGTGTTTTACATTGGATTGGAAGCGCGTACGCAATGAAAATGGGCGTTAGTAAGATAATTAAGGAACCCCACGGCACACTAATTCATACGCAGCAATACCGTCTTCAGCGATGAACAGAACTTGGTAATTTTCGCTAGTTTATTTCGCGCTTCCATCTGAAACCGATCTTCCTGAAGAAATAATTATAAGCTGTCCAACTTGAACACGCTGTCCCCATTGTCTTTTAAGGAGTAAGAGTTAACCTTGGTCCTAGAGTTAACGCAACTCCTGGATTCATCAGATGAGTACTAACAGATTCCAATGGAATGGTTTGCGCTGGTCATCTCGATGTACAAGAAGTGCAGATCCCCTTGTGAAAACCACAAGATTTATTTTAATGGATAACGTCTGGCTGCTATTATCCTTTGACTGTTTGCCGCGCGTGTACGGTGCACGCGTGAGAACCAGGCTGGTTTTAGACCCGCTAAGGGTAGTACTGACCACATTTTCTCTCTTCACCAACCTTTATAAAGCAGACATTCCTTTAGTGGACCCTTCTATAAACATGTTCCTCTATGTAAAAGCGGCTTTCGACCCAGTTGTTTAAACATTATCTCCACTTTATACCCTAGTTCGTCAGGATTCCCCTCTTCTTTTTTTATTTGATTTCGTTGTGGATTTGCTCCTGGAAACAGCCCTGTTCTCGTGCGAGGACTGTGGCATCGATTTGCTTCCAGGTGGCTGACTCCGATCTGGAGTGCGCAGAATACATTGTACTGTTAAGTGAAAATTCCAGTACATTATAAGTGTTTTCAAATGGTGCAAGTGTTACTGTATCCGTGTTCTATATGTGTTTTGCACCTTCAAAGTGTAAAATGTTTTTACGGGACTAGGATGGTCTAGCTTCCAACCTCTTTCTAACAGAGACTTAACCATTACCAAAACAGGATAAAGACAAACTGTTCGAACACCGCTTTCTACGCAGCATTACACGAATCTGGTTGGGACACCGAACAACATCTTTTGTGGTTGTGTGGATGATTTTTTAAGTTTATGATTTAGCCAGTGTGTTGCTTTGCGGTAGACCGTTGTCTGTAAGTTTTCTGATCGCTTCTTCGTGACCAAGATGGTTTTTCTTTCTCCGCCTGCATTGTGAATTTGATGTAATTGAATGTTGTTTAAGATATTGTTTTCATAGTAACTCCGAATTTTTCAAGATGAACATTGTGTCCTCAATGGATCGGAATCAAAGTTTCGGCGTGATTCTTTGTGTTACTTTCTTCTCCAGCGTTACAATTAGAAATCCAGAAATTGATGATCCCATTGGTGTCACTTTCAGCTGTTCGTAGATTTCACCCTCGAATTTGAAGAACGTTCACACGCATAGAGCCATGAATTCGCAGATGGTGGCTGATTCCATTGGTGGGTGCTCATTTTACAACTCACGCAATGTGAATCTTGCTATGTCCAAGTCGATCAAAATGAAAAGAACAGTGACATGGAAGAAGACCTTTTTCATTTTTTTATTACTCACCTAAGTCTGATGAACAGCAGAGGGAGCGAACCCCATAGTCACGAGGCCTACTGTTAAATGGTGGAAATCGGTGACCTAAGCCCCGGGACTTGGAGTGGCGAACCACATAAGGCCCTGCTATCTTGTGTTATTTCCTATACGATACTGACAGTTTTGGGCTTGTCCAAGAACTACTTTTGTTGTGAGATACTACTCACTTGNGAGTAGTCGGTAACTTTCGGTGATTAAAAATAGAACAAGACCATCAAGGACCAAGTAATATATTTGGGAAGAATAAACACTGCCTGCTCTACCCATTGCCCCATGTGTCGCGATGTTCTGCGAAGGCATGTTTCTGATGAGCTTTTCGTGTTATGCATGCAAAATTAGTGACCTTCAATCTGTATTCTGCAATAAAGAACTCTCCTCGACCAGCACCGCCTTTTCGGAATATAACTCTTTGAGTTCATCACGTTATACTGGTATCCTGCAATGAGCGGTTTCAGTTATTACCATGATTCTGCTAAATTGTTTGTGGCTGCTCCTAGAAGTGAGACGATTGACCTTAGGGCATAAAGCAATGGAGCAAGATAAGGGTAAAATAAACNATACTCCATCGTTTGCTTGACCGGACAAAGCGTCCTGCAGAAGTTCCTCTACAACAAAGTTGAAAGGATTGGGAGTATAGGGCAGCCTTGTCCAAATCCACTGGAGACGGTAAAGAGTGGCAAAAGCTGGCCATAGGCAGTAACCCGACTTGAGGTTTGACGATACAACTGCTTGAGGATTGACACATTTTTCAGCAACAAACAGTCTCATAGTGCAGTCCTATCAACAGAGTCGGCGGTGTGAAAACCGGCCTGCTCCTTTTGGGTCTACTCTTTACGCGTCTTGTATAATCGGCGGAGAATGTCAGAGGCCAACAGCTTTGAAACTATCGGGGTCAGGTTTATAGCCCTATGACTAGCGCAGTCACTGCGCGGGCCCTTTTTTGAAGATGTGGACAACAATCGATTCTCCCCACGAGGAGAAACCCTGCTCAATGTTCCAAACTTGAGAGAACAGAACCTGTAATTCTCGAAAAAGCTTTATTCCACTATCTTTAAATATAGCTGGGGAAGGCCATCGGAGCCCGGCGCTCTCTGACGTTCGAAGGCTTGGATCTCCCCTGGTTCGGCGTGCGTCGAAGTGAGGAGACTCCGCAGAAATCCAGGGTTTCGCAACACGACGTGTCAGACCACAACTAACTAAGCCAGCGGAATGCTGAGCATTCTTGATAAGTGACCAGTCCTGGTTAATGTAATCGGGGTTTTAGCTTTTCAGCTAGCGCGTTCTGAAAGACAGGCGTGCTGGTTCAGACAACTTATTGCAGTCTAACCATCGTTGTATCTTGCGTTTAGAACGCCTACGGAAGCACATGGTCAGCTTGGCGCAAACTAATGTGTGGTCGGATTCAAGAGGAGTGCTGCGGTACGATCGGTTAGTCTTGTATGCAGCCCCACCATTTTTGGCTTATAAGAATGTGGTCAATTTGCGTCCGTCGCTGACTCGAGGGTGAATACAAACTGCCATTTCACAATCGCTTAAGAAATCACCTTGGTTGGCGATAAAACGTTTACCGACAAATCGGCGAATCCGCGGACGGGTGAGAATGAGTTCAGTTTACCCGAGATGCGAAAACCGATTTTCAATACTTTGACAACCTAGTTATGTGTAGGTGTTTAAATGTGATCGCAACTGTCCAATGCATGTAGGGTTACTAAGCCGTATTTAACAAATTATCACATTTTGCTGTTCGTTCTGGTATACGATTTTCACCTTTGTATTGTGATAAAATGCCAAAACGATTGGGTTTCTAGTACTCCTACCTTGAATATCGATGGTCAGAAACAAATTATTAATTTTCCTACTGAGATGCGAGGCAGGTATCGCTAGCGCAGTATTGTTCGCATTAATGTTTCATGGACTTCATCTCCGTCTTGTGTCAGCGGATTGTGCGTGGGACGAAAGCTAAGGTGCTATTTTGAGGAAAGTTATCTTGCCTTAGCCACGACGAACAAAAAAACTAACACACAAGGCGTTGGTGATGCCCTAAGTTTTTCAGCGAGATCCGTTCCATCCGTGAATCTTGTGTGACTAAGGTGAAACTATTGGTTTCTCAAATAGACCAATGCTAAATGAGTCTTATGTTTTGTCTAAAGTGCTTCCAACAGTACAAAATATATACCATGTATTTACGCGATTACTTACCCTATTTTCACTCACCATCAGGATGGTTTTCGTCATTTTATTATGCATCAGTCAGTGATAAACAGCTGCAAAGGTAACTTTTACTGTTATGAACTACTGTTCACTTGTGGAGTCGGATATCAAAGCCATACGACTGATAACTAACGTGATTCTCGTTTTGGAAACGCGTGAAATAGGGCAGGGTGGTTGCAAAGTTACTTGGAATCGAGTCGGTCCCACTACTCTCTCGCGGTGTCAGCTCCTTCAAAGGTGAAAACTGAACGATAGTCTCAGTGATGGACGGTATCTTTCGTGACCTTATCTGCCCTCATATGTTTCGCGATTTCTTACTCTTTAACCTCTTAACTCAGTAATAAGCATGAAATCACCTCAACCTTTTCTGTTATTCCAGCGGAATCGGTCGTTGGATCACCTACTTGAACAGTGCGGAATATAGGCAGATCCAGCCTGGGAACGCATCAATAAATTTTTCGGAATTGGCATGTCACAACCGAGTGGATGATATGTGGATGGCTCTAAACCACGAGGGTAAACGTAAGTCGCAGGTTAATATTCTCAAAGTATATATATATATATATATAATGTTGCTCTGTTGGATTCCATGTTCCCAGTTGTGACAGTTTCACCAAAGTATTTTACACTGATCGTTATTTTCTAATCGATAGCTGAGATAGTATGCTTCAGCTTACGCAAACGTTATAGTTGCCTCTTCGTGCTTCATCGTGGGTACCCCGGTAAGGTATGTTTTTGGTAAAAAAAGATCGGAGCTATCAAGAGAAATGTCTGGAACACTAACGCGATTTGATGTAGCTACATTTTGATCAGGGATAGGAGATTCACTGTCCTTTCTTGAGGTTTATTTTGTGTCCCTCTAAATCTTTTTTCTCTACTCCTATTTCATTATTTTCATTTTTAGGTGCTGTGTTTGACGTCACACCGTTCGCACGCTTTCATCCCGGAGGATTGGAAGTACTCCTGGAGCATGCAGGCACAGATGCCTCGGAAGCGTTTCGTATGGTGGGTAAGCAAGTAGTCAAAACACTTCATTATTTGACTGCTTTGTTGCCATGGTTTAATTGGTTCATTCGGTAACAGAAACATGTTTCTTGTAAGGCGGATTAGCCCATTCGGTTTTTCACAGACAGCAGGCACTGGTGATGATCTTGGGTGTGACCTTCATCCCTTGGGAGATCGTTAATTCCCCACTAATTTAAATTTAAATCCATTCAACTAGTGGGGAATCAACGATCTCCCAAGGAGTGATACCCACACCCAAGATCATTAACGGTACCTGCTGCGTGTGAAAAACCGAATGGGCTAATTCAAACATTCACCGCTCAAATTGATTGAACAATGCGCACAAGGTGATGGCGGTCGACCGTGTAGCTCAGGGGTAAGGGTGTAATGTCCCTACCCGAAGGTTCGCGGTTTGCGGTCGTGACAGGGACGCAAAAAGTACACACTACTGACGAATCCCAAACAGGGTGAAACAGCTGTTCAGTGCTCTTTGCTGGTTATCACAAACATTTCCATCGCATTTAAATGTTTCTTGTAACTTATGTTTGTGTATTGCAACCCGAGCCAGTCTTTATGTCACGAATAAGAAAATGGACGCTTAGATGGATAACCTTTGAATAGGTTCCCGTTGTTCTGTCGAAAAAGTGGTTGCGACTAATCCGCCGTGCTGCCCAAAGGCTTGGCGGGGTTTTAGTTTGACAAGCAATTTCCGGGACAAGAGACCACCTGTTACCCGTCGAATGCGTCTTCTTGTGCCAATCTGGCCCGCCACCGAAGGAAGCCATGTACATCTAGCTGTTGCTCCACTGGTTGCACTGTTTAATTACTATGGCTGCTTCCACGAAGTAGATACACATTTCACCATAAATGTAAGCATAGTGTAGTGGACTAGTTGTTCATGCGTATCATGTGTACCTTGAATTCCAAACTTCCATTTCAGTATGTAGACTATCCGTGTAATGTTGGTCTGCTGTTCGAACGAAACTTACGGCTCATGATGGGACTGAACCTTGACTTGGTGTGATGGCTGGTGCACCCGTCTGACCCAATTAGCTACTGTCAAGTCGAAGATCTAATCATACCTGGAGGGTCGATTGACAGGGTTCGGACGAAGTCTAATCTCCTGGCCCTCCAGGTTGGCGGTTCAACTAGAGTTG